AAGTGAGGTGGGTGTGTCATAGGATTGCTTTTCTTCACGTCTTCGACACACTTTACATTTCACTGATGTCGTTTATGTTGGAACTTGCACGCAGTGTGTAGCGTGTAAATCTTTTTGAGGTACTTTTCTTCCTCACTAGCCGATTATTGAACAAATTGTAAGACTTGCCTCCTCAAGGAATTCGTTTGCCTTAATCACAGTTAGGGCCAGTTTTGAGAGCAGCTTTCACTTTTTACCAATATCAAAGAGCACATTTCTCACGAAAGCAGTGTACCCGATCTCCAGCCTCAGTTCCCGCGAAATTTGCTTGGGGTTGTCTATGTCTCAGCGGAAGAGAACGAGTTAAATTCATACACTGGAAAATCAGGAGAGCAATCTCGCGTAGCAGCCGGCGCATTGGGATCGATGGTCTTTCACTCAGTAGCCGCATGCGCAATCGTACCTGCCGTCTTCATCTCGATGTGGTCGAGCCTTTTCTTACTGCCAAGAACCACAAACGCAGAAATTCTTCCCAGGTAGTAGCTCCAAGGACGATGGAATTCTCGCTGTTGCTTGCCTTCGATGCACTAAGGCAAATTTATTACTAAATCCTAAACATTCATATTCACATTAGCAACGCGTGGTTGCTCCACATCCATATGTGATGATTCAAGTATCTTCATGTAGTTATGTACAGTAGGCATTCAATCAAGAATCGATATGGTTTCGAAGAGAATCGCTAATTGGAATATGTTTGTTGTTGGCGACTGCGTTGGTGACAGCTCTGAAACCTAATGCGCACGTGTTGTCAACTTTTATTGGAATCTGCTGGTCAATACGTCTGACCCCGTTGACTCGTAAGAGTTTTGGCCGATCTTCATTGGTCAATCTATGCCTGAATGTATTCCTCCTTGCCACATCTTGAAGGTTTTTTAGCGCTTTACACTATGATTGATCACTTTTCTTGTTTTTGCTGCGACAATCATGTCATCCAGATATAGTCCAACGTACATTAAACCCTCCCATAATCGCTTGACATAAACGCGCGGGTACCCTACGTTTTCCTTAGTGCCATTGTTTATAAAGTGTCTTACTCCAGGCGCTTTCTGCTTGTTTCAATCAGTGCATAGCCTTGTTCAATTGACATACATATCCCCGAATATTGACGATAACCAGTGGAACTTTCGTATAAAGCATTGTCTGTCAGCACACTATTCAGAAATGCAGTAGTTGTCGAATATGGCATACACTGCATGTATCATCCAAATTTAAAATCATGTTGTCGATTAGTGGAAAGCTTAAAAAAGCGATTTCATACTTAGCTTGGACCCATCCGACAAGTCGTGCCTTGTACTGCACAACGTGCCATTTTGGTCACGTTTCTTGGCAAAGACCCGTCGTTATTCTTTTGTGCAATTGTTCTTACGTCTTGGCTTTGATATCGATGTTTGATTCTGCTCATGGTAGCAAATATCAGCTTCAAAAGCTTTGCACCACCTCCGTGCAGCATCGATTGTCATTGCTTGAGTATATGCAGTCGGTAAGTCTGTATCATCCTTACATCTTACTCTGTACGAAAGAGCAGCATCGGTAATGGGTTCTTCTTCGTCAATTTCAGCATGTTCCTATGTCAGTGGACTATCACTTCCTTCTTATTGCCTCTCCATCATCTGATCCATGCGAAGCGAAGCAACGGCTGAAGTCTTCGTCTTTGTCGCTTCACGATGAGATCAAATCACATTTCGAGGGCAGAAGTATTACCTGACGCGACTAATCAACTGGTCGTTTGCAACACTGGAGCTGATTTCTTCCCGTACTAGGCTTCCTATACCGCATATAAATGTTATATATAGTATTAAAAGTACTTCTGAATATATGCACTTTTAGATAAACAGAGCGATCTCACAGTGCTCATTATCTCAGAGGCTCTTACGCTAGCTCTTTGCAGGAGCGCACGGCTCCAACCGCTGTGCGTTTGCTGACGCGTACAATGAGAGTTAAAGTTTCATATGTGCAAAGTGCACGGCAACCATGTCGTTATTGTTAGTTCTTGAGTCATTCTCTCAACCGAGCGGTGGATCTGCATTTTTTGCAATGGATCATGACTTGTTCGAATACCTGTCCTTGAGGCAAATAGGCCGCTAAGCAAAAAAATCTATCTTGTGTCCCGATGGAAGTAGGGGATTGAAGACCAAAGGGTCGAAAACAAAAAACGCATACCTAGTTGTGCCCGCCAGCTTTGATGATGCGCTGGTGAGACAGGATTATGAGTGCCCAATCGGGTCCTGGTAGAAAAATAGATGCCCCACCACTGATGTTTAGCTCCCGGCACTTTGAGGCGAAGACTGAACAAGTCTCCCTCTGGTGATTGAAGTTGACTTTACCGGGAATTCAGTATTTTTACAACAGAGCCTCGGTGCCTTTGGCTTGCGATATCCACGCTAGGAGACTGCGCGCGAGAATATGCACTTGATTGCAATATTGCAATAACAATAGGGGTTTCAACTAGAGTACTTTGAGCAATAAAAGTCGCGAGTTTTCAAAATGTCGAATCAGGCGTAAAAATATTAGCTCGAAGTTTTTATATACCCGTCAGCAATGGCGGACTATATCCAGCGCTAAGAAATCTTATCACCGCAATATTAAATGACCCGTTTGAAACAAATGTAACGGCTACCATCTTTGAAGAGGGTCTCTAAACGGGTACAACTCATACCTAGACTTCCGCGCCTACTCTTTTTCTCTAAGTAATCGGTGAGCGCCGAATATACTTCAGATCAAAACTTGCACGTTGTGGGCAGGCTGGGATGCTATGTATATGAGCTATTCGAGATCGATAAAGACAGTAGAAATTACCCACGCTAAGGAAAAGGAGAGAATTTCGTAGCTACTGAATAGCTCCGGGGTGGTCGCAGATGTTTTGATGTACCGCATTCCTCGCCCGAGATGCTATGCCTTACCTCATGACTTGCCGTATTACAGCACTCATTCACTTGACACAAAGCGTATAAATTTTCCCTCTTAATAAGAATCTCAACGACAGAATACAGTACTAAGCACACGATAGCTCTTTGGATGGTCACCTCGGAGGAGAAAACGCATACTGCTCGGTGAGCGCTTATTAGCAGCCAATACGCATAATCAGCACATCTTTGTCGACATATAATGCATGTCGAAAAACTGCGTGCTGCAGTACCTTTCGTCAGCCTGCTGGTTCTGGTTGAGTGCTCGCAGTCCATAAGTATAGACTTTGTTTTAATTCTACACGCAAAGCGTACGGTGATACCAGTGTGGTCTTTGTGGACCCTCTGAGCAAGATGGCTCATTGTGATCGTATCAGCGACCATAGCCAGTGAGGATACGGCCAAGCTAATCCTGGATATCATGTTTTCTCCAAAATGGATTGCTGATAACCATTGTAATGAATGGAGACCAGCAATTAGCAACGAAACATTGCCAAAAATATTTTAAGGTGCTCGATACCAGACCAGACATGTCGACTGCTAGTCACCCGCAAACATATAATCAGGTAAATGCGGAAATCACGTTATGGATGGAAGCCTTTGCGGGACAAAATATTGGTGATGTTGCTAGTTGCCTCAAGTCACTATCCAAATAACACAGTTAAAATCTACACGGAGATCATTTTACATTAATGGTTTGGGACACCCCGAGTGCCTTTGACACCACCATGATGTAGCTTTAGTATTTGTGGAAGAAGGGATGCTAATCAAAATCGACTTGTTGGTACGCACGAACCCAACATTTGTGCATTTGCTAACGAAGATTATGAGAGACAAAAAATTGTCAGTATAAAGTGTGCTGCAGCCTCGCCTCCGATCTTTTCATCGATTATTAAATAAACTGTAGACTTGCTGTCGTGCTTGAATCCTATCGCTAATTCCAATTAATTGTTAAGATCATCAGATCCAATATTTTCTGGGCTAGCCGCAGGGAATCTGCAAAGACTACAGTAACTCGTAAATTATCGTATTCTACTTTTTATGGATCATATCAGTATCATGTGCAACATTATTCAGCTCTCAATGGTTTTAAAAGTATTCGTCCTCATACCGGGTTGTGCTACCTTGAATTTAAAGTTTTAACTGACTTTCACATTCTCAATTGCGCGAACTACCCCATCTTTGCCTGAGTACAAATGAAGACAAGCAACAACGAGATTTCTATCGCCTTTGGAGCTACTACCTGTGAAAAATTTCAGCGTGCATGGTTCTTGCCAATAAGAAAAGGCTCGGCCGCATCGAGATGAAGACGGTAGGTACAATTGCACATGCGACTACTGAGTGATAGACCATTGATTCTAATACACCGGCTGTTACGCGAGTATGCTCTCCCGATGTACCAGAGCATGATTCAAACTTGTTCTCCTCCGCTGAGACATTGACAATCCTAAGCGAGATCCGCGAGAAATGAGCCTACACAACCTTGTGCAATTCAAAACAGTTTCATGAGTATAGAATTTATCATCAAGGAGCACGTGCTAAACTCTGACGACCGTTGTATATTTTTTGCTGTTCAGTAGATATATTGCTTGTAGCATTCAATCAATTTTATATAGAATGAGATCATATATCTAACCAGCCAACATCCCATACTGCTTATGTCCAATCCTTAACGTAAATAAGACACCCTCGATATTATTACTCGGCATCTTCAAAAACTCTGCAAACTATTTACTGCTTCCAATTATAGCGCGCCATACATAATTGGACGACGTTTTTGCGTATATCAGGAATTTTCTCGGCTTTACAAAACCCATGGCGTTGGTACTGACAGCCGTATCTTTCATAAACCTTTTTCGATGATGCGGTGGTTTTAATGAGTTTAGGTATTTGCTTTGCAATAGAAGAGAAACCTCGATCATGCTAAAAGAAAGATACATTTGCTCAGCTGCATGAAGCACTTTAATTGCTAATATTACATCTGTATCAGTGCCAAATAAAGTTGTCTTTTGTGGATAACCTGCCACGCAAGGTTGTCAGACATACCCTTGAAAAGAGATGTTGAGTTCTGTAGCTCTCGCTCGTGCCATCCTTGTGTGGAAACCGCTAGTGCGACGTGCTATTTCTTCGCTTGAGACATGGATAAATCCATCGTCATCTCAACTTGTCACCCAGAGGTATATAACCTCCGACTCTTAGTTCAAAAGGCTAGCCGTTCTGCAGCGAACGAGGTGACTTTCGTGTACCCGTAATGCGGGCAACACCTGTAGTGCTCGCCCCTGGCGAAAGCGCAACAGATGACGAAGCTCTTCCTGAGATATGGGTGCAACGGCACCGGAAATGTTCCTCACTGCACAACCTACAGTTGAGCCACGAGGAAGTGGACGTGCATGTAGAGCGACACCTCCGATTCGAGTTTGCCAAACAAAAAGCACGCTGTCGATTTCCTTCGGACTGTCGCCCTGCGCGTATGGGTTAACCCCTAACGCTCCCGCGAGCTCTGTATCCGCGATTACAAGAGCTCTGGGATACTCCTTGAGCTCAGCTCATGGCCCTTCTACTTCCCGGGCTATTGCCGGGAAGTGCGGGACGTCCTGATCTTTCTGATCAAAAGTGTCTACGGCGACTGGGCAATCCTGCCGAAGTGGCGCTTCAAACTCTCACGAGTTTGCGGAGTCAGGATATCCCCACCACTTCCCCAGATATTGGATCTGACCCTGGTGACGACGTCGTCTTACTAGACGTTTCACGTGATAGTGGACGTCACCGTTCTAATCGAGACGATTCGGTAGCCCTTGAGGACGATAACTTTTGTGATCATAGCTCCGCTGATCGTCATACTGAAGTACCATATAGCTGTGCGGACACTCTTGATGATTTGAAGCGCGTCGTGCGCCTGCTGCCTCACCTTGTGGACTACCACACTCTGTCGGAGCGACTCCTAGCCGTGAAGCAGGCGAATACGTCGCTGCATGCGACAATGGAGCGCTTGGCGCCATTAGAGATGGAGGTTGTAGCACTCCGTGATCAGAACCAGTTGCTGGATCAGCTTCTTGGTGGCCGAGGGTCCGTGGGATCCGCTCCGGCGCCAACGCTTCCGCGTTCACTTGCGCCGGGTCCCGGTAGGGCTTGAGCAAGCCCACGTCAAACACCGGGTGGATGCGCATTCGTTTCGGAAGGTTCAGCGTGTACGCTAGGCCCCGTTTGGCCACAACCTTATACGGTCCGATATACCGTTGGCGAAGCTTCGTCCGGAAGATATTAGAGGCTGCATCTGTAGGCAGGTTTTTAGTATTCAATAAAAAGGTCTCGAACTTTCAAATTTACCTCCTCCTTTTTTCTTCTGCATATTGTACTGCAGGTCTTGGCTTTCAGCCATCGCATTGCGAACGTGTCGTAGGACACTCATTCTGGTAGACAAGAAGTCATCGACTTCTTTACGGATGGT